TGGTTGTCTAGGCTCTCTGGGATTGAGATTTGTGGGCTAGTTTTCTTTGCTTTATGTTTAAAAACCACTTATGAGTGAGTACATATGATAATTGTCTTTCTGGGTCGGGTTACCTCACTCAAAATGATGTTTTCTAGCTCCATTCATTTGCCTGCAAAATTCAAGATGTCGTTGCTTTTTTCTGCTGTGTAGCACTCCGTTGAGTAAATGTACCACATTTTCCTTACCCATTCTTTGGCCAAAAGGCATTTAGGTCATTTCCAGTTTCTGGTTATGACAAACAATGCTGCTATGAACATAGTTGAGCACATTTCTTTGTGGCACGATCGAGTATTCTTTGTGTATATACCCAAAATTGGTATTACTGGGTCGTGAGGAAGGTTGTTTCCTAATTTTCTGAGAAATCGCCACACTGACATCCAAAGGGGTAAATGCTTTTTTTAAAAACATGTATTTATTGAGGGAGGGGCTTGCATGCCATGGGTGCACACAGAGAGTGGGGACAGCTTCCAGGTGCCAGTTCCTCCTTCCACTGTGTGGGTTCCAGGGATCCAACTCAGGTAGGTAGGCCTAGGGCAAGCACTTTCAGCCATCTCCCGGTCCCCATGGGCATTTTGTTGTAACCCATTTGCACGGTAGGGCCTACTATGCAGCAAACTGCAGGGCATGGCCCTGCGGGGTTCCCTTCCACCCTCTGCCGCTGAGTTCTCTGTACACACCTTTCGTCATGTGCCCGCCTGTCTCGATCTCACGAGGTTGCTTTGTGGGCACAGATTAAGAGCCAAACCACGGCGGCCCAAATCTTGTTGCCACCCCTCCTTGGGTATGACCCTGCTCATAATGCTTGTCTGTTATGTGCCCCGTTTACTTAATCACGGAGTTAGGGTACCAGTGCATATGTCTGCATGTGTGCTCTTTTATGGTTCTGCAACTATACTGTTGAGAAAGAAAGAGAAGAGGCTGGGGAGGTGGCTCAGTTGGTAGAGCGCTTGCCTAGCATGTACAAAACTCTGGGTTCAAGTGGTTATGTTAATCTATGCCTCTAACCTCAGCAGCTGGAAGAGCAGAGGCAGGAGAATCTGGAGTTCAAAGTCATCTTTGGCTACACAGTGAGTTTGACACCAGCTTTGGGTTACATGAAGTCCTGCTTTAAAAAAACGTAGATGCAGGATAGTGGTGGCGCATGCTTATAGTTTCAGCACCAGGGAGGCAGAGGCAGGCAGATCTCTGTGAGTTTGAGGCTAGCCTGGTCTACAGAGCTAGTTCCAGGGCAGCTAGGGTTGTTATACAGAGAAACCCTGTCTCACAAAAACAGAAGAAGAGGAAGAGAGGGGAGAAAGGACAAAGCAAGGGAGAAAGAAATAAAAGAAGGAAGAAAAATAAATTTCTACTAATAAGAGTGCATTATCTGTCTCTGTGTACCTTATTAAGTTCAAGATCGTCTGTGTCATTCACGAGTTCATTTGTCACTTGCTGGCCAGAGCAGACCCCAAGGAGCTCACATCAAGAGGGAGCAGGTAACATTGTTGATTCTGCCCGTGAGGACGACAGAAGGCAAGTATGTGGTGGTGTTCAGAAAGAAGGGACTGGGCTTGTTCTGCCACTTCCTGGCTGTGTACCTTGGTTTCTGTCCACTCTCACAGGACTGCAGTGGGATTCAGCTAAAAGATAACAAGGGACCAGTAGATACCGCCATGGCTTGGATATGACTTTATGGAAATCCCCAGCCCACCCTCAGGGTCTATGTGTCCCTTCCTCAGAGTGGCAGGCTGGGAGGTAGGTCCACGCCTGGACATCATTAAGGCAGTTTTCATAGTTCATAGGAGTGAGTTGTTATACAATACCAAGTCTAGCCCCCAGCTCATCTCTGGCTATGTGACTCACTGTCATGATGTCCCACCCCCACCCCCACCAAAGCCTTATAGGAGACTGAAGCAGTGGAGCTGCCCTAGCGCGCTCTCTCTCTCTCTCTCTCTCTCTCTCTCTCTCTCTCTCTCTCTCTCATTTTCTCTCTCAGGATCTCCCCATTATACAGCTCTGGCTATCCTGGAACTGGTTATGTAGACCAGGCTGGCCTCACAGAGATCCACCCACCACTGCCTTCTGAGTGCTGGGATTGAAAATGCATCATCACGCCTGGCCCTTTTCTTTACAGCTACACAAAAGAGGAGACTTCAAGTACCTGACACATAGTGTCTGAAAGGCAATGAGTGTCACATTTACTAGAAAATGGCATGCAAGGTGCATGCGGGAAGGAGGGGCTGGCAGGTATCTGCTGCAAATTGCTTAGGTTGGGGAGGAGGGCTTAGAAGGAAAGGGTTGATGTCTGAAGAACTCTAGGCACCACTGAGGTAGTCTGCAACAGGAAAAGCTGGTGGTTAGGAATGTCGGTCATGACATCACTGTGTATTTTAAATTAAACTTGACGTCAGTAGGTTTTCCCAAAAGTGACCTCAGGGTTGAGCCTTAAGTGAAAGGAGAGCAGCGAAGAAAGTCAAGGTTGCTCCAGGCTGAGCAAAGAGGAGAAAGTAGAGGATACCAACCATGCAGCCACACCCTCCAAGGGTCAGAGGGCTGAATCATAGCAGCCCAGCTACTGAATCTGGATGTTGCCTGGGAACCACACGGGGCTACAGAAACAGTTCACCCTGGAGCCTGCCATGAATAGCCTGGCACAGTCTACACTGACCACTGAGAATCAGCTTTGTAGCCGTGGCCTTGCACGACAGATGCTAAAGTCAAGTCTAACAGACTCCACTCCTTGTGTCAGGCTTCTAGGGCCAAGTCTGTGTTGTTTTATTCTAGTTCTCATTAAAGGTGACCCCTTTGTGGAACTGGCCCATGCGTCATAACTTGGAACATGCTTGCACACAGATGTACCAGAGTAGTCAACCAAGTATCATGTAAGGAACTCGTGCCACATACACCATGGGGTGATGTCTAGCTATTTAAATCGTGTAAGGAACTCATGCCACATGCATGGTATAGGGCAATATCTTAGCTATTTAAAGCAATTTCCTGGAACGTTCTGGTGGGAAGTGGAGATGTAAGCGAGGCACACACGCTCCAACACTCACCGCACCGAGATGGTGGAGGGTAAAGCCACTTAGGCCTTGTGTGAGGTGTAAGAGCGGCAGTTCATATGCATCACCAGAGCAATTAGAAAGCTCAGCCCCGAAGACCACAGAACCACAGAGGCTTATTTCTGACTTCTGGTAACAGAATATAAAATTAGCAGGCCTGTATCCCCTTTAATCTGCGAGTAAAACTGGGTCAAGAGAAAACGAAACCCTGCAGGGAGAGAGAAGCCACTGTGCTGCAAGGGGTGAGGCGCAGTCTACTGCAAGAGTCACCTAAGAGAACAGTATCTTTAAAAAAAAAATTTTTTTTTAGTTTATTTATGCGTATGCATGTGTGAGTGCTCACACCTGCCCACAGAAACCAGAGAGACAAGTCATATCCCTTGAAGTGGAGTTGTAGGCTGTTTGGAAGCTAACCCTAGACCTCTGGAAGAGCAGTGCTCTTAACCACTGAGCCATCTCCAGTCCCGGAGAGTGGAGGAGGGGAGGTGGAGGTGTAATCAGTCTTGTAATGCCAATTTCAGAGAAACAATCCCTAACCGATTACCACGTCTGCTAATAGAGTTGAGGAGACATCCACCCTGAAGACCAAGGTACACATCGCTGAGTTCCTGTCTTCTCAAAATGGTGATTTGTAAAAGTCAACTAAAGTAGGTGGAGAAGATGCTCTCGCCCTTGCGTGTGGCTCTCTTCAGGAGGTCGCAGACGTAGCAAGAGCTGTGAGGAAATGGCTTTGTCTGCTTTAGTCAGGCCGGAATCAGGAAATGTGGGCAGGAAATGCCAGGAGGAGGGCGGGAGACAGAGACGGCTCAACTGTTAAGAGCACTGGCTGCTCTTTCAGAGAACCTGGGTTAGGTTTCCAGCACCCACAGGGCAACTCACAAGCCTCTCTAACTCCAGTCCCCCGGGAATCTGATGCCCGCTTGGACTCTGTGGGCAGCAGGCACACGCGTGGTCTTGGTCGCAGGCTGTTAGTTTTGACAGAGAGGTGGGTAAGGAACAGATAAGGTCTAATTAGAGTCTAACCATTCCAATCTCTCCACAGAACACCAATTCCATCAATCTAACAGCCCCTGCAGACACAGCTTCTCTCTTGGAATTCTTATTCTCGGTACTCACACCCTTGTGCATGTGTGCGCACACACACTCATACGTGTGTACACACATTCACACACCACCACACACATACATACACACACTCTCGTATACCATCCCATGTACTAACACATAAACACTTAACACGCAGTCACATCCAGACACATACATACTCATACATGCTCAGATAGACACTTAGCACACACTCACATATAAGCAGACGTTTATAGTCACACATATGAGTACACACACATCACACACTATCGTCACCTTCCCCTCACAGGCCAGCGGTTGGGAGAGGGAAAGCTTGGCAAGGGAAAGCTGAGGAACCAAGGTGGGCTGCAACGGACTCCCTGGGGGTTGGGACCCTACCCGGCTGTCAATAGCACTGCTGAGAGGTGGAGCCTTTGTCCGGCCCACAGAGGGGGTTTAGGGAACGACAGTCACGTGTTTTTTGGTGTTTTTGTCTGGACGACCCAGTCACGTGAAAGGCATCCAGGTGGACCTATCAGGTGTCACGAAGAGACTGAGAAACGGGGGCTTCTCGAAAGTGCTGGATTCTCCCTTTCCGTGTCACCAGCTGAGAAAAGAGACTGCAAGTGGGGGCGGGCTGCTCTGGAGCTAGTGGCACGCACGAGTGTGGGGCGGAGCGAGAGCAGGAAGAAGGAGAAAGGAGGGAAGAAAAGGAAGATCGCGAAGAAAGGTGAGGGGAAGAGGAGAGGGGACCGAGGGCTCGGGTTGGGGCGGTGGGCGTGGGCAGCGGGGGCGTGGGAAGACTGCAGCCGCCGGAGGCGGTGGGGGCAGCTCTGCCTTGGAAGCACTCACCGCACAGGTGAGCCCACAGAAGTGGGGTGACGGTGGGAGAGGTGGCCTGGGGCAGTGTCTTTTTCTTCTGGCTCTCCTTCCCTGCTCCCGGCGACGGCGAGGTGGGCAGACGCTGGGCAGACCCTTCAAAGGCTCCGCCGCAGCGCGGTGTCAGATCTTCAATCCTTTCCTGCTGTGCTTCTCTCCAAGCGCCTCGGATTCGTGCTACCCCGGGCTGGGGTGCTGGCTTGGAGTTTTGCAGGCCTAGCCTTGGAACCCAGCTAGCTGATTCTGGGTCAGCCTCCCCTCCCCCAACACAGGCTGGATCAGGCTGCCATTGCCCCCCTAGTCTAGACCCGAGTGTGTGTGTGTGTGTGTGTGTGTGTGTGTGTGTGTGCGCGTGCGCGCGCGCGCGCGCTCAGATGCCAGAAGAAGACAGCTGGGTTCAGGAGGGCCCAGTTCACCAACGCTAAGGTGTGTGCTTGCTTCCTTCTTGGTTCTTGGGATGGCCCTGGGTCTGACTGTGCAAAAAAAAAAAAAAAAAAAAAGTCTCATTTGACCATAGGTTGCAAAGATTTCCTAGGATTTTATTTCCTAGAAAATCGGATTCCCAGGGCCACTCTGATGACTGCTCCCCTACTGCTCATACAGCTACCGCTGTGCCCTGGTCCTGTGTCCTCATCCTTCATCCTCATCCTTGCCACAGCTGTGCCTGACTACAGGTGACAAAGCCGAGGCTCAGACACTTTATATTCCTTGCCCCGATGCCCAGGACCAGCAAAGAAAGTCAGAATTAAAACTGGCGTCTTGCAGGGCATTGTTCCGGACACCTTTAACACAGCACTCAGGTGGCAGAACTCTGAGTTTAAGGCCAGTCTAGTCTGCCCTTAGGACACCTAGGGTGACATAGCGAGGCTCTGTCTGAAGGGGAAGGGTGCACAGTCAGGTTATTATAATCATCTTCAGCATCTAACACCACAGGGCATCGTGTTCCTCTCTGACACTGGGCACCCAAGATGAAACGTACAGAGGGGCCCTGGGCTCATATTTCTTGCCACTGAGTCACTAATGTAGGAAACACAGTTTCGTATGAGCTGTCCATTTTGTGGGAAAGCCAGTGGGGCCCCGGGGGGAAGAGGAGGAGGCTCATGGCCCACCTGGAGCTTGTCCATCCTTGCCAGCCCCAGGCTGTGTGGTCACTGGGGATGGCTCCTTCGGTGATTCCCTGGTGGCTGCATCGCCCTTTCACTCACAGCCATTTCCTTGACCTATGGTCTGTTTCTTAGCTCACCACTATTCCTTTGGGTTCAATGTTCGCTTTCTCCTGTACTCTTTGTCACTGAAAGTGTCCAGGTCCCTCGCTTTAAGATTCATCTCTGTGATGGCAGTTTTCAAATTCATCTCTCCAACCCTCCCCTAATCTGAAATCCCAGACCCAGACATATCCTAAAATATTTCGATCTTTAATGGCTAATTCCAGGGTTTGTGCGCGCGCACACAAACACACACACACCAGCACCGAAATACAATATTTCCAAACCCAAATTTCTTACCTTCACCTCTCCCAATGAGGTCTCAGTTCACGTCTTCAGTTTCATATCTAGACAGTTTAATCACTGTCTAAACTGTCCGTCTTTCTCCTGGACACACACACATACAGACACCCCGCATCCTCTTGAAAACACAAGATTATAGTGTCGTTGGGGGTATGCACACCTGACCGAAAGGGCAGATCCTTATTCCTCTCCTTCCTTAGCCCCCTGTCCTTGCTTCTTGGACTTTCTCCTAGTGAATAATTCTTGCCTTACCAGACGTCCGCTTTACCTGTGCTCTTCATACAGTTGAGCTTATCTTGGCCTTCGTAGCCTCATACTTAGCATGTCATAGACGTTCAGCAAACATTTGAATAGTTACTCACTTTCAGTGATGCTTTGCTGTGTTTTAAAGACATACTTTACAGGGAGTAAAGCATTGCACAGTATGACACTTCATTCCACTCTTAAATCAGACCTGTGGCTCTGTGTGAGTATGTGTGCATGTGTTTATGGACATGTGTGTAGGTGTGTATTGGGGAGCTGTTCGAAATAGAGATTGTAGGAACTAAAGAGATAGTAAGCAAAAGCGCATACTGCTCTTACAGAGGATCTAAGTTCAGTTCCCAGTGCTTAGGTGGCTTATAGCTACCTAAGTATGGAGTATGTAACTCCAGCTCCAGGGGGATTTGACTCCTCTGGCCTCCGTTAATACTGATATTCCCTCACATAATTAAAAATTAGAAGTCTCTCTTTTTTTTTTTTTTTAATTTTCAAGACAGGGTTTCTCTGTAGTTTTTGGTGCCTGTCCTGGAACTAGCTCTTGTAAACCAGGCTGGCCTCAAACTCACAGAGATCCTCCTGCCTCTGCCTCCTGGGCTTGTAAGATGGCTCAGTGAGTAAAGGCACTTGCCACCAAGCCAGACAATGTGAGTTTGCTTCCTGGGACCCACATGGCAGGAGAGAACAGACCCCTGCAGGCTGTTCCCTGACCTCCAAGCAGTGTGAGAAGGCCAGGAAACGAACAAGCGGCCTCCTCACGGCATCCACGTGTACATGACACAATACACTCATTGTACCCCCAAAAATAAACAATTGTAAGAAAGCTCGAGTTTACAGATGGCTGCAGGTTAAAAACCTAACAAAATGAAAATAATAAGTTTTCTAAGTTAGAATCGCTGATATGAAAGGTGCTTTGAAACCTGGTACATAAATATTCACACCTGGTACAGTGAATCTCTTCTGCTTCCCTTAGTCATCAGGCCAAGGAGTCTTCAGAGCATTCGACTGGCATTGAAGAAAGGGCAGCATCATCATGGCCTCAGTGTCCACTCATGGAAGCCAAGAGAAGAGTCCCCAATTGCCACCGTTTAGCAAGCAGGTATGTGTTAGCTTGAGATTCTGAGGAAAACTATCACACAAGACTGCCACTAGATCCTGCCCTTGATGAATCACCTGACTCTGTGTGTGTGTGTGTGTGTGTGTGTGTTCCTGAACCTGGAGACCAGGGACCAATGTTCAGCATTTTCCTTAGTCACTCTAGATCATATTTTATTTTTTTATATTTACTTATGATGTATCGTGTGTGCCGCACCCACACACATGCCATGGCAAGTGTTAAAGATCAAAGGACAGCCTGCGGAAGTCATGAGTCACCTCTCTCCTTTTACTGCGTGGGTCCAGTGGATTGAACTCAGGTCATCAAGCTTGGTAGCCGGTGCCTTTACCCTCTGAGCCATCTCACTAGCGCTAACTTCCTTTCCCAGACAGGGTCTCTCAGTGAACCTGGAGCTCACTGATCCAGCCAGACTAGCTAGCCAGGAAGTTACAGGTATACCCCTGTCTCCGTTCCTTTGATACTGAAGTTACAGGTACGTGCCAGCACATCTAGCTTTTCAAGTGGCCTTGAGGATCCAAACCCTGTCCCTTATGTTTGTGTGGCGGGTACCCTAACAACTAAGACAGCTCCTGAGCTACGAACACTTTTCCCAACCCAGTCCTTTGTCAGACGGAAGCGGGGAAGATGGAGTAAGGAGGAAAGCCGCAGTCAGGTTCTCTTGAAAAGCCTGTTAAGATTTTGTTTGCAGATCGCTTTCTTTACTCCTTCCTGTTCAGAATCCATCTTCGCTCTCTCACCACAGCCAGTGACTGGGTAGGCGTACCACCATGGCAGAGCAAGCTATGGTTTGTCCCTAGCAGGATGACACAGCCCCTTAGCTTCTCGTTTGTGTTGTGCAGGGTGATTATTTTGAACATATGCTGCCGCATGCTGCTTTTAGCATAGCGGTGTCCGTAACTGCTAATCAGCCATCAGGCTGAGAGCCCACGTGCTAGCTTGGGAAGAGTGGGGATTGTGGTTCAGAAGCATTTGGATGAAAGGGTGAGCAAGTATTTCATGGGTTACTGGGGTCCATGTTCTCTGGAGTCAACTTTTCACACTAGACGTGGTTTCTAGGAGAACATTTAAGTGGCAAAGTGCAGGACAAAGAAGCAGATAAATGACAGCAGGTCACAGGAGAGGCATTTGGACACCTTAGCTGCCCCTGTGAAATAGAGAACTGTAAAACATTCATAGCACTGCTAGTAAAGATCTCCCAAGCCCCACTTTCTGATCTCGAGTGCTGGACTCGCGGAAGAGACGGTGGTCAGATCTGAATGAATGTCTGGATTACCCTGTTCATATTGGGGATTTTCTTTATTTCTGCCCTGGCTTCAGAGAGGACAAGAAACAAATACAGATATGACTTGATTTACAATGGCATGTTGTCTCAATAAAAACCCACTGTAGGTTGAAACTGCTGTTGGTTTACACAGCTACTGGGAATCCTAGCACTGCGGTCCACTGCAGGGTGTTGCAGATGTGATCCTGTGATAGATGTGATCTTGTGATGGATGTGATCTTGTGATGGATGTGATCTTGTGATGGATGTGATCTTGTGATCTCACTGCTAACTTGAAGCTGTGTCTCCCTGCGAATGTCCACCATCATGAGAAAATACCATACTGCATATCATTAGCCTAGGATAAGTTTAAACTTCTAAATGTAGTTCCCACTGACTGTAGGCCAGTTTCAGAACGTGTGTCTTAGTCAGGGTTTCTGACCAATAGCAAGTCAGGGAGGAAAGAGTTTATTCAGCTTACACTTCCGCATCATAGTTCAGCATCAAAGGAAGTCAGGACAGGAACTCAAACAGGACAGGAACCTGGATACAGGACCTGATGCAGAGGCCATGGAGGAGTACTGCTTACTGGCTTGCTCAACATGGCTCGTTCAGCCTGTTTTCTTAGAGAATCCTGGACCACCAGCCCAGGGGTGGCCTCACCCACAATGGGCTGGGCCCTCCTACATTAATCAATCCAGGCTTATGGAGGCATTTTCTTAACTGAGGTTCCCTCCTCTCAGATGATATTAGCCTGCATCAAGTTGGAATAAAACTATTGAGCACAATATGCTAAAGTAAAATAACAATCTGAACCACTGGATTGGGGAGGTGGTAAACTCCTCAGGAAGTTGGTAAAATGCCTGAAGCACCAGCGTGAGGACTTGAGTTCAGATCCCCAACATGTACATAAAAATCCAGGGGCAGCACACCTGTAATCCCAGTGCTAGGGAGACGGAGTTAGGATCCCTGAGGCTTGCTTGCCAATCAGAATAACTGAATCAGTCAGCCCGGGTTCAATGAGAGACGCTGTCTTTTAAAACAGAACAAAATAAAACAACACACATACATGCAAAACAAAACAAAAAACACACGGAAAGAGACACTCCTTGTCAACCTCTAGTCCCCACACATCTGCATGTAAGCTTGCACACACACACACACACACACACACACACA